AGACAGCTGCCCAATCTGGAGTTCACCGGACAGAGTGTGTGGTAAGAGACACTCTCAATAAAGGCCCATTAGACGTTTTCAAGGGCATGGCACGCGCGGGAACAGAAGGCTACAAATAGAAACGCCCAGTGCCCTTCAACAGCGTGGAGAAAGGAGAGGCTCGGGGCGCAGGGGGAGCACTTCCCAAGCACAGAAGAACACATCCAAGGCGGAGAGGGCCCGGGCTGTCTGCTTCCTCCCGGGCTGTGACCGGCACGGCAGCAGGGCCTGTGGGGACGGGCACAGTCCCAGGCAGCAGAGCACGCGTCAGTTAAGGAAGTGAACCCCAGGCCAGACTTAGGGCACAGCAGTCCCCAGGTGTCTCCCTGGAGGCTGTGCCCCTGGCAGCCTCACCTCAGTAAACCCCTCCAACGGTGGACAGTGCCATTTATACACCTGCTCTTCTAATTGGCAATTGTTCTTTAACCAGCATTTCCACTGTTTATACTATTCAATTAATTTAAAAAATCATTTAAAATTTAAAAAATACCCTCGATTCCAGAGTGGAAAATATTCATCTACCCTTAATCATAGTGGATTTCTGCAATTTACAATTCCATCCATCCAAACATTCATCTGTTCAGGTACCAGGCACTAGGAAGGAGCCAGAGGTGGGAGTAATTAATACTGTGTATGCGCGTGTGCGACCCAGGGGCTGCAAGCAGTCCTCCGATCAGGCAGGGAGACACGGCCACACAGGCGGCAAGCAGCCCCACGCCTCTGCCTTACCCAAGCTGATGCTCTGTGAGGGCTGCCCTGCCCTGAGCTTCTTGTCCTAGAAAACTGACAAATATCCTTCAAAGTTGTTGGTGTCCTATCTCCTAAGAAACCTTCCAACGCTCATGTAAAAAAAAAAAAAAAAAAACCTCTGGGCTTCGCCTCTACCTTGAACTTGACTAGCACTGAACCAGGGTTGGCCTCAAGTGCTCTAATCGAACGGCCTCCTCTCAGCCTCTCCACAAACCTCTCCGGTGGTACCGTGCCCACCCACTGCACCGTGGAGGACAAGAGTTTAGGAACAGAGCAGGCCCTGCAAGCAGGCAGTGGCAGAGCTGGAGTTCTGGAGTTGGACACTAGGCTTTCTGGCTCTGGTTCTGGCTCTGAACCATGGGGCTGTGAGTCTGGACGTGCCATGGGAATAAACTAATCGTTCCTTTTGATGCGATGTGATGAGATGGCCAGCACCCTGGGATATCATCAGGGCTGGGTCCCAGGGACTCTCTTCTTTTCTTACTGTACTTTCTCCACAGCTGAATCCAATCTCAGGGATTCAATGACTTACGTTTGTGCTGCTGTGGTCAGGTGCCATCTAGCTGCTGCCGAGGCGTGGTGGCACCTGGCCCGCCTCCCTGTGTGTTAAAGAGCAGACCTGCTCTGTGGGGTGTTCTCTGTACAATCTTAGCAAAAGCACACCACCAGGCCTTTTCTTCAGCAGTACCACTGGGTGGGTTCGAATCACCAACCTTTAAGTTAACAGTTGAGTACAAACTATTGTACTACCCAGAAAGCTTATTTACATGCTAACAACTCTAAATTTCCATCTCCAGTCGGTACATCCAACCACCTCTCTGTGGCTCCTTCACAGGCCTCGTGAACTTTAACAAGCACAAAATGGAACCTCATTCTTCCCGGATTCTACCCAGTGCCCAAAGTGATGGCCAGACTGCCAGAGACCTGAGTCGTTAATACCTCGCTCTAATTCAGTCTCCAAAAAGCAGGAGGGTGATTTCCAGAACCACAAACCGGACCATCCTGTGCTCCTGCTGCTCTCTAAAGGACCCCACGTCTCAGACTACACCTGTCCTTAGGCCAGAAGGCAAACCCTGAGGGTCTGCCTCCAGCCTCGTGCTCCTCTCGCCCACCACCCGATACACTCTCAGGCCCAGAGTCCGTCCCAGCCTGCAGCCTGCAACCGCTGTCCCCTCAGTAGGAACCTTCACTCCACCTCCTGACCTGGCCCTTCACTGGTGAGGTGAGGTTCACAAGGAAGCTGGTCAGTCTCCACACACGCGCCTCACCCCCGTGCACAGACATGCGCTCAGCGCCCCCCACCTCTCGCATCACCGTCTGCGGTTCAGTGTGCCGGTGGGGTGCTATGCCTTACACTAGCCTCCCCTCCTGGAGGGCGGGACAGCAGGGCCGGGGCCGTGTGGTTTCGTCTGCTGCTGCAGGCCCAGCGTGGGCTGTGGACTGTGGGCAGGGTCTGCTGAGTCCGAACCCTCAGCTCTCACCTGGGCAGTCACTAGAGCCTCCTCACTGGTCTTGCTACCTTCATTCTCTCTGTCTTCACTGCAATCCACCTTCCACAAGTGCTGACAAGAGTTCTAAAAAAACACATGGGATCCTGTCACTCCCTGAGTATAGAGAAGCCAGAGGTCCCCACAGCCTCCAGTGTCAGATGCCAATCTCCTAGCATAGCAAGCAGGGCTTTTCCAACGGGGTTCTCATCTCTCTTCCCAGCTCTACCTCCTGCTGCTTGGCTGCCAAGGCCCTGACCCAGCCGCACCCCACACTCTTTCCTGCAGCTCTGGAGGCCCTTCTTACAACTCCTATACACCCTCCAAGACCCAGGTCAAATGTCACCCTCTGGAAGCATTCTCTGATGTCCTGCACAGGACTTATCTTTTGTTTCTATTACACAATATCTGAAACAAACTGAAGAACAGATTTAACACAAAGCCCTCACCACACACACCTCAGGATGCCAGCTGTTCATCCTTACTGCACTGAGGACTTCTGGGAACCAGGACCGATCTGGCGGCCCTGGCACGGTGGGGTTCATGGCCTAGGGCCAGGCAGAGCATGTGGAATAATCCACTTCTGGGTCCAATCCTCTCTCTACCTGGCTACCTCGTCTGGACAACTCACTTACCTTCCCTTTGACTATTTCCTCAACTGTAAAACCGGGACAACTGCCCACCCTCTCGTACCCGTCCCGTGTAAATGACACGTGTCAAAGTACTATGAAACCTCTCAACCTCACGCCAGTGCAAAGCCACTCTTGGCACTCTGAAAAGGCAATCTCCGAGGACCCTGCATCCGACAGCCTGCTCCTCCTCGGACACAAGCATCAGCCCCACAAAGCCAGCGAGCATCTTGACTGTGAAGGGCAATCGATTTCAGCCCAGCTGCAGATGCCAGCACTGAACCGCAGTCCCGGCATCTGACCCAACACAATGCGAGGGGAGTAACGACAATTCACGCTGAGCTCACTAGGAGGGAGGAGCTGCCTTCTAGCCAGCGTCTCAAAGGCTGCAAGGGTAAGGGGGTTCTGCGGGTACAGCCCCAGTGTGTTTGGGGCTCTGCCCACGGCCCCCCCTCAACGACTACACAAACTCTCCCTTGTTCTCTAAGTGGCATTCGGTGCCACCCGCAGCTGGAGCTGCCTCCGGACCTTGTTTGCCACCGGGCCTCTGTCCTCCCCTCCCCTCCCCTCCTCCACTCTCCTGCCTAAACAGAAATGAAACAAAGCCCCACACTGATTCCAACCGTACAAGTTCTGTTAATAGTGCAGAGGGGGCCGACTCGTGCCCCTACCCTCCCACCACCCAAAAAGAAAAAAAATCATCCAGCTACTTGGAAATCATTTCCTTAGGTGATATGAACAAGACATCTTGGTAGGAAACAGAGTTTTTTGGAGATAAAACTTTTTTAAAGGGAAATGGGGTTAAATACTTTTCCTCTACAGTTTTTCAGTCCAGATGGCAAGCTTTGTTTCCAGTCACCCCGGATGAAACTAGGAGAGGAGATGGCAGGGTTCCAAAGACCTCACCCAACCCACCGGCAAGGCGAAGCAGAGCACTCGGGCGGGCACTGGGGAAGCACGGGCAGTGCGTGGCAGAGATGCCGCGAGAGAATGAGGATCTCACCCAACCCAGTGGCAAGGCGAAGCGGAGCACTCGGGCGGGCACTGGGGAAGCACGGGCAGCGCGTGGCAGAGATGCCGCGAGAGAATGAGGATGGCGACTGAACTTCCTCCAGCGGAGCAGTCTTCCCCAAGCTAAATGATTTCTTAAAAACCAGAATCTACGATGTGCTTCTGTCCCTAGATCTCGACATCAAAACCATGCAACAATCCAAAAGTACCAGTTCCTTTCACAGAGGGTGCCCACGGGACCTGCCCCTTGTCACAACAGGGCTGAGGTCACAAGCAGAGACAGGCCTACCTCATCGTTCCCATTTCTAATAAGAAAATTAGCCTGAAACCCAGAGGAGGAAGGACATCAAATATGAAACAGCAATATCTAGGGCTGAAAAGCCACTCCAATGGCTTTCTAAGTGATTCTACTTGGCAACTTCTATCTGTCACAGTTAGGAGCCCTGGCATGTTCCTGGACTGTTGGCTCACATATGTCAGGCTCCTTCCAGGACGAAATGGAAGACACCAGTAACCCAGTATGTACTGCACCACGGGCACCACGGGCACCACTGGCAATGGCCATGTCATGCAATCCCATTTCAAGCTCCAAGACTTCAAACTATGTCAAAAGTGATTTTACAGTAAGTATTTTCCAGAGCAAGACAACTTCTCCTCAGCCAAATGCCTACCAAACACACACAAGAAAGCATTAGCTACTACTTAAGCAGCCTTAGGCAACGTCATCAAGGTCTTGGATCTGTATGAAGTTTTCTGGTGATGTGAACAAAGTCTGGACTTCTGATTTTTATTTAAATTACACAAATCCAGTCACAATCTCGTCCCTCTCTCCATGGTGAAGAGTGCAGGTAGCACATACTACAGACACCTGAGCATGCGCCATGAGATGCACAAACAGTAACACCGGGGAGGACAGGGGAAGCCCAGCACGTTAACCAGCACATGTGAACATGGTGACAGCAGGCAGGATGGCTGAGCAGCGAGAAGGGGCTTCGCTGACAGTGTAACAGAAGGCCCACACCCTTGGTAGGAACCGATCGATTCTTAAAGGGATGCTTAACAGCTAAGATGGGGTGCTACTTACTTCCTCATTAAATAGTTTGCTAGTTTCTTTTTTGATTGGGTCTATAAGCTGGACTTGGCCTGCGGAAAAGCCCACTAGGAGAGAGACACTTTCTGCTGTGGCTGTTAGGTGGTTGAAGTCATGACAAGTAGGCTGTGTTCCTTTGTAAATCCTTTTATCTATTGGTTTACTCAAGTCAGCAGCCTGGAGGAGAGAGAGAAAAATACATACGGTAAACAGCACATTGAGATGCAAAAGCTAAGTCACACTATGTTATCTCCAGTATGATGATTAATCTTAAAAATGAGTTACTTAATAAGCTTTTCAGTTGTGACCAGCATTCATCTAGCATTTTATAAAGCACTGTTGCATACATTAGCTAACGAGACTATGCACAGTGTGTTTCTGACTGTTACTTTCACAACCTATTTCATTCTCCTTCAAATACACGTAATAAAGATTCCTGGGTTTCAGGAGGGAAAATCCTCGAAATACTAAATCCAACGTTTGCAAACGGGCAGTGTCCCTCTAACCACGTAAAAGCACAGCTTTCACACGCACCTGCAGCACCTAAGTGCCCACTGGGGAGTTACCTGCCGCCAGGTGTTCCCAAAGTACCTCCCCAGACCAACAGCAGCAGCCCCTGGAAACGAATTATGAAGCCCCACCTGAGGCCAAACAAAACCAGAAACTCCGCGGTGGGGCGCAGCACCGCTTCTTTTAACAAGGCCTCCAGGTGACGCTGACGCTGCTGTGGCCGGTCAGGAGCAGCTTCTCCAAGTCCAGGTCACAGTCTCTTCTGTGTTAGCTTTCAGGCAAGGCTCACTCACTGAGCTCACCACTCAAAGGGCTTCTCTGCATCACCTTGAATTCTTATCAATAATCCTTCAAAGTAGGAAACATTTTCCCCATCTTAGAGATGAGAAAACAAGCTTAGGTGAGTTAAATAACTTGGCCAAGGTCACATACCTACCCAGTATGTGGCAGGACTGATTTTGAAAATAAAAGGGATGGGGGGGGGACATGCACTCCCTCACCCCCATACATACACACACACACACACTTCACACCTCATACATACACACACCCCTCATACCCTATACACACTCATCCCAAACACAAACATATCTCATACACACATCCACACACCACACCCACACACCTCACACACACACTTCATACATACACACACATCACACTCCATATACCTCATACATACACACACCACACACTCCATACACACACCCACATCCATATACATACACACCCCATACATACACCACACCTCATATACACACACCCCATACAATACATACATACACCCCACACCCCATACACATCCCCCATACATACACACCTCCACGCACTCTACATACACACTACCCCCCACATACACAGATCACACGCCCTGTACATACACACATACACACCACACTCCCCATACATAAACACCCCCATATACACACATACCACACATCTTATACACACACACTCACCCCCACCCCACACACGTCCCAAAGCCAAAAGCAAATGACTTGACTTTGGCAAAGCCTGGTTAACCCCCCACTTCATTTTTAAGGTGGGATTCTCTTCTTCACAAGATGAGTTCTGTGCAATCCCAATATGCTGGGCGGTTGGTGCTGAAGGAGGGGAAACCCATCCCTCCCAGCCCTGTGTGTAAATCGCCGGTGACGGGGGCCGGCTGCTGACCATGTCCTTCAAACGCCACTCAGGCCTAGACGCTGTCCTGAGGCTCCCAGCCCTTTCCCCACTGAGCCCCTTCATCAGGTTCTGGAGGTTGTACTGAGTATCCTAGCGCTTGACCGCTTGACCGCAAATGATCAATATGATAGTGAACAGAAAAGAGGCCTTGGATTAGAGGCATCTTCGAGCAAACGCGAAGCTGAGTGTGTGGGAGTCCGGAGCTGAGGAGCGAGCTGGGGGCGCCGGGCAAAGGAACGGGGGTACCTGCCATGCGGACACCCTCCCAGCCTCGCCTCAGTCGAAGTGGAGATAAGAACCTCTGTCCTACCAACCTCATGGGATTGTCCGGAGGACAAAATAAGAGAACACGCCCATGACAGAGTCTCAACAAACGTCAGGTAAAGCTTGGCACAAACCAAGGGGCTCCCAGCTTTGGAGTGAGGAGGAAAGGCCTGCTGGGAGGGGTAACTGCGGCCCCAGAAGAGGCCCGAGAGCGAGGGGTCTGCAGAAGCCCACGGACAGGCTGCCAGAGGGACACAGCCCTTGGGCTGGGCCAGAAGCCTGGAGGGGGGATCCAGGTGCAGAGAACAACCTCAGCCACGCATCTCAGAACAAAGCACGTCCCAGTAAAAGCAGGAACAGCTGCAGGTGTAAAATAAGATGAAACTAGCAGCTAGAGACAAAATACGAACATGACATCATTCCACGGTCACAGCATCAGCACGGCACACGCGCTACTTTTTCTTAAAAAGGTTCAGGGAATATTCCCCTAAAAGGAAAGATCTAAAATTATACACTGAAATATAAAAATCAATTCAAAGGCAAGGGAAAAAGAGAGAAAACATGCTATTGTAAAGTCAGTGAGCAAAAGAACGCAGAAGGCTTCTCAGAGAGTAGAGCAAGGTCAAGTGCCCCCGTCTCCAAGGTCAGAGTTAAACTCCTGGACAGGAGCCTGGGCCCCTGAGGTAGGATTCTGTCACCCCTGCCCCTCAAAACGGAGCTTTCCTGAAAAGATGGTATCCATAATTAGATTATATGCAAATACTGCAAAACTATTTGGGATGCCAAAGAAAAGACGACTTTTACTTTTAAATGAGGTCAACAGTCTGAAACTGTCCTGAGTACTAAGTTGCTAATTAACCAACCTTCTTCCTAGATCACTGCTACTCAAAATGTCCTGGTCATGATGAGCTTGTTATGACTTTGGTCAAATTAAATAGAGAAACTGAAAACAAGCACTTAGAAACTTTCATGGTAATGGGAGTTAACTTTCTATCTGTCAAATCTAGTAAAAAAAAAGTGGAGTTCGTATTCTGTATGTCTTTTTTTGTTTCCTTTTTCTAAGAATTCACTTGTATACTACAATGTCCAGATTTCATTGTTTTTATGTGCTGTCAAGTGGGACCTGACTCATAGCGACCCCCCCCTTGGGTTTCCGAGGCAGTGTTGCTACGGAAGTACATTGCCCAACCTTCCTTCCAAGCAGTAGCTGGTGGGTTTGAATGGCCAGCCTTCTCGTTAGCAGTCAAGTGCCTTAGACACTATGCTACCAGAACTCCCATACAATGTCCAGATAGTGGATATTTAATTGGTCCTCACACTAGTGTGCAGACCACTGTCCTAGCAGGCACAAAAGCAGACAGCCGGGAAATTGCAGGCCACCTCTTACCTAAGGCCACCTCTCCCTCTGCAACCTCCAATGGCACTAACCATACCACACAACAACCAACCATACGACCACCTAACCATACACAGAAGTCTGGCCAGGCCACATGTCCCCTACCCGGAGCTGAGACCTGCTGTGAAGCCAGAGCGACTGCCAGGTGTGTGCCCTTCTGGGAAACTATGGGCCCACCGAGCCTGACTCTAGTGGGGCCTGAGCTTTCAGGAGCACCCCGGCCCCCAAGGTGGAAGGCCAGGCCTCCCACCCAGCCCAGCTCCAAGCTCGCTCGCTCCCCGCCGCACGTCACTGTCTGGTCTCCTCCTCCGCCTTTGTTTTTGTGGGGTAGGCGTGAGGTGGGTGCCAGCCCTTGCGCTGAGCTCACATCCTTGGCAGCAGCCACCACCTGGGCCTGCTACTGCTCTTCCCCACGGGAAGTGTCTTCATCCACTACGGACAGACAGCTTCAGGGAGTTGTGTGTGGCAGGCGGTGAAGAAAGCTCACTCTGGCATCAGAAGCCTGGGGTCAAACGCGCCCTCCCTCAGCCTCAGCAGCTCCTTAGTCCCCTTTCAGAGAATTGGGGGGAGGGGAAGTGCTGCAGAGAACGGGCGTGAAGCACTCAAGTGGCAGCTACCACAGTGGATGCATATCCGTCACATCCCACCTCTGAAACGTGTCTACAGCATCCTCGTTCCCATCACAGCAACGATGAAGCTGTGCCCAGCAGGCAGGCCCTCCAGGGCCTGGCCCATCCTACCTGACGACAATCCCACAGCCACCTACTGAGCACTGTCTGAGTCCCGGGCACCTTGTACTCCGCACCCATCCCCTCATGTCACCCACAGTCACCCTCAGGGCAGGCACTCGGAGTGCCCACCCTTGCTCCCCGAGGACTGGGAGCTAGGGGCTCTGCACACTGAGGGCCCCCCGCCCTGCCCCTGAACTGTCCTGAGCTGCGACACCCATGCCCCCCAGCCCACACTGTCCCGATTTCACCACAGCCTCGTATGGGCGGCAAGGAGCTCTGGTGGCATAGTGCCTAAGGCACTTCAGTGCTAACCAGAAGGCTGGAGGTTCAAACCCACCAGCCGGTCCTTGCAAAGAATGCTGGGCAATCTACTTCCATAGTGATATTGCCTCGGAAACCCAAGGAGGGGTTGCTATGAGTCAGACCTGACTCGATGGCACTGAGAGTGTCGCATTGGTGGCAGCTCCTCTGCCCCTCTCCCAGAAACCCCATGCCAGTGTCCATCCACCACCTCGGGGAGCTCCCACTCCCCTTCTTGGGGCGCTCTCCTTTCCCTCAGTTCTCAAGTACTCAATCACCACTTAGATGACTACAGAACTGTTTGATGGCTGTAGTCAATTACAAGGAAATTACAATTTTGAAATTATGATAAAAAGGCCTTTAGGGAACAGACACTCTTTATTAAACAGTCACCACTATACTGTTCACAAAACTAACTTTTGTGTTTCAGCTTTCTGCTGGAGTCTGCATAGATGGGTTACACACACACTGGCAACTTTTTTATGCTCTGCATCCTAACCGTCACCAATTAGCTGACCTCCTGGAGTCTCAGGGTGGAGCAAACAGTACACATGCTCTGCTGCCAACTGAAAGGTGGGGTGCTTCGTGTCTTCCCAGAGGCCCCTTGGAAGAAAGGCCTGGCAATTGACTTCCAAAATAGCAACCATTGAGAAACCTATGGAGCACAGTTCTACTTGGTCACACATGGGGTGGCCACAGTCAGAGCTGATAGACTTGGTTTTTGATTTTATGTAACTTACCTTCTAAACTTGAATGTGCAGTAGGACCAATTCACTAAAACTTCTTC